ACATCATCATTAACCAAATTGAAAGGCAAGAATTTCCGAAAGGACTAACATTTGCACCCCATTGCATTATATATACAAATATTAAAGCTCAAGATCTACAAATAACTGCATCTCACTAGCCAGTATTCCAAGGAAATACAAGTGCTTTTTATGCTGTAGACTAGTCTTTGAAGCAGATCTAGTTTGAGCTGAAAGAGTCGGGAATGGTGGTATCTACATGGAACATATTAGCAACCACACAAGAGGAAAGGAAAATATTTAGAGATCACTAAGTATCCATCCCATCCAGACTTGATTTGCCATTGGAATTAGTCCTATTTTTGATATCTTCAGAGAGACGCAGTGTTGGCGTTGATTCTACTTGTTCATTAAAAAATACGAAATCATTTGGGTCATCTTCCTCATCACTCTCGAGCCAACCAAAGCAAGGTAGATGACGCCTTCCAGTTGGAAGACTAGTAACTGGTGGCGGGGAAGGAAATTCTGGTGGTGAACAAGGGATTGAACTGCTTGTAGAATGGCCCATAACATCAATCTCCTTATATTTAGAGTTCTGATCCAAACCAATATCTTTCGAGCCCCAGCCATATCCATTTCCTTTGTCTCCAAATTCTGCAAAGAATGTTTTCCAATTTCATGAATCATCTATATTTCAAAATCCTAATTCCAGTTAAGCATGTACTTCATGGATAAACAAATTTTCTAGGCTGACACAATGAAGGATCATAAGTTAAATTATGCATATAGTAATCATCATAATGATGCTTTTACTATACATGAGTCATCCCAGCATACTCAGGGACATATATTGACAGGAAATAGAAAATACAATGATCTATTAATGGGTTGGCATCTAGAATAAAAGCAACTGCATAGTCAGGGTTAGGAAGCAACACTGTAAAGTAAACTGCATCGATCATAGATGAAATACCTTTTGCGAATGGAAGTTGTGCCACAGAAGAGGACCCAACAGCATCTAGAAGAGCATTGTCAGTTGTTTCAGTAACTTGAAGGGAGACTGTAGTTACACAAGAAGCCTCAGCTGGTGCATCCTGGAAACAAAAAACATAACATGTAAATTTACGCCTTACAAATTGTACTCAGAACGACAATCGTCCAAAACCTGAACATTTGAATGCAGCCTCAACACAAGCATCTAAATTACATGGAAGTGTTGAGCCTACATATTAACAATTAAACCCAGCTTCCATTTAACTGTTTAATCAATTAATTGTAACTGAATCTAGAATTTTTTTTATTTTTATTTAATTTTTTTGATAAAAAGCTGAATGAAGCAATATTACATAAAAATCTGAGATAGAATTAATTTATAAAGTGGTTTTTCTCCCTGCTTTCCTCCCAAATAATACAAAGAAAAGGATATCAATTTATTATTTTTGATTCCACCTTCCACCTCTTTAAGTTGTTCCATGTCTAAACAGCATTTCTTAGAGATAGATAAGAAAAGACATCTCCTAATATTTTGTACAGAACTTAAGATTATCAAGGCTCTTTAAAGCAGATCCAAACAACTTAAAAGCTACCTTTCAACTCTTGGTGCATAAAAATACCACATTACTACTTTGTTTCTTTTGATTTATATTTCAAGAGAAGGGTAAGTTTCACGAAAATTGATCATACATAGTTAGAAAATTCAAACTCACCATCAACAAAAAGAGAAGTTCAATGCACCTAGTGAAACCATAACTAGGAAAAGAAATACAAAAGTGCCATTAATCGATACCTTCATGTGGTTTTCATCTTGTGCACTTTTCACTTGATTATTTCCTTCTGCACTGCGAAGAATTGCCTCAATTAGTTCTATGTAGGAGTTATCCTCAATGAAACGCCATCCTTCATCTCCACCATATTCCTTAGTTAAAAAGAGAAAGTAAATGATTAACCATGTATAATCATTTCATAAATCACATTTACTCTTGAATATTAGCATCCCACAGCCACATAACAAATACACACACAATAGAGACATACGTGTAACAGAAACTGAAAGGGGTCATTTGTACATCAAATTCGCAGACATTCCTGGAGACATGCCGTGATGAAGTGATATTTTTATTTCTTGTATTGTCGATTCTACACTACTCTACTCCCTATGCATTTTCATTCATGTTGAAGAAATTATTTTAGCAGTAGCAAAAACGATAACAACAAGCTCACTTCTGATTGTTTACCCTTTTCGTTCTGCCTTGAGTTCTCGATAGAATCTCCGATCAAACGCAACCATTATACTCTATTTTATTGTCGAGAAAAATATAGAACTCGACAACTTAAATAAAACCCACCTATTTGTAAAGCCAAACTGAATTTTTCTCTTTATTTTCCCTCTTCTTTTTTTTTTATCGGGATAGGGCTAATAGAAAAATGAAAGAAAAAATAAGAAAGAACCTTGAGAAGTTCTTTTACTGTCTTCCGTACAATCTCTTCCGAGAAGCCGAATGAAATCATGGCATCAACAGCTGCGTCCATTCTCATTAATCGTGGCTAAAGATCAAAATCAAAATAATAAACGAAGAAAAAATTAGAGAAATCAAGGAGTACAAAAAAAAATGTAGTAGCACATAATAGTAATAATAATGTGGTGTGCGAGGAGAAGAAAAAAAACCTTTCTTGGTCTTCCTCTTGGTGCCATTGTTGATGCTTCACGCTAAAAAACTGAAAAAAGCACTAAGATCCAATGTTACTCACGCCGCCGAAAGAGGTTGATGAAATGGGTTTTATAAAATTGAGTGCACATCTCTTTAAAAAGAAGAAAACAAACGAAAAAGCGACTCGTTTTTGTTACCTAAAATTGTAAAAATGAAGGAGACTTTCAATCTGAATGAGGTTCAGAGCAGGAGAGCTCCAACAAACGAAACTTGTGTGTATGCATGCCCGTACATATGCCCAAACAATAATAGTACGTCATATATGGTATGAGAAATGATATTAAAATGTTTACCGTCAATGTGCCAAAGAGCTGGCCCGGTTGGTTCGGCCCTTTGCCACGAGGCCCTATCCTACCTCATCAACGGACTCATCTTGGCCTTGTCAATTATAAGGTTGAGCAAGGGTCGACCCTTCAACTAGTAGACCCTATCAATATAGGGTTGACTTAAGTCGACACACGGGCTTTTTGCATGTTTGGCAAAACTTAGAATTATATGTAAGTGATGTTAAAAAAAATTGTACACCTTTGAATATCCGAGCTTGACGATTTGAAATGAGCACGAGCAAGATCTCCAAGACCTGAAACAAAATGCATAAAGGATCTACACTTGTGAATACCCGAACTTGACGACCAAGAATGAGCACGCGTAGGATTTCCAATATTTGAAACAAAGACATTGAGATATGTCCTCGTCATCTCTTTAATGCTTAAGTTAGCGAAAATGGAAAATATAGACATAAGGATATAAATTGAATGAAAAAACTATACTTGAATAATGAATGTAAGACATGCGTTTATAGATTTAGGCAATGTCATCCTCGTAGGATTAGGTCACTTGGATGACTTATCTATTTAAGAGTCCTAAAGGACGTAGGAGTTTCGTGATAGCTGGACATTTCGTTGAAATTGTAGAATCGTCGTAGTTAGAAAATACTAGGATTGTGATGGTTGAGTCTGTCTAAGTTAGGGAACCCGTTAGATAGAGAAATTGAAAAATGATAGTAAGGGCACGAGATGCCCGAGGCCAATTCTGACCATACAAGCCCGATGATGTTCCGACCCAGGGAAGTGCTCGAGGTTATCATGATCTCGAGCCACGGGTTGTGGGTGATCGGACCGTGCATAAATTGTACACATCATTAGCCCTTGTGCATCCATGTTCGAGACTACGTTGCTTAGAATTCTCGAGGTTAGAAGATGAGATGCATATTTCTCGGGCAAAGTGTAGATTGCTTGAGGTTGAGGTGAAAGATGCTCGAAGTCTAGGTGAAGAAAGCTCGAGATTGAGGTGAAGGAGGCTGGGGCTTGAGGTCGAGGTGAAGGAAGCTGGAGCTCGAGGTCGAAGTGAACCCAGAGGCCTCGAGGTTTAGGCTAGGTGTAGAGGTGCTCAAGGAACTTTGGACATCTTGCATGTGGTGTTTAACCCGGGCACAAGTAATGATGGGCGTTTGATGACCTAGGGCCTGGATGACACATGCCATACATCAATGAAGACGATGTTAAGGATTGCCCCTAGGGTTCCAGTAGGCCCTCGAGCTCCCTAGTTTAGGTTGTATCCCAAACCCATTTTTGTAATGAAAAAATGGCTATGTAAAAAATTCTAGTTCATAAATGAAATATTTTGCCCGACGATGTTGTTTTTTATGTATTGTTAGTGATTGTCTTGAAGAACACAATGAAACAAACCCGACGTAATCTAATTAGCAAACCTCGATGCTAAGTGAGCGACCAACCCAATGGGGTCATGATAATGAATCCCAATGTATAAGTTCTTCGTGGATGAGGGTCATGTGATATTTACATGCTCAGGTCAGAGGTTTGAGGTGTGCTTACATGGGGCAAGATTACGAATTCTTGCTGGGGGCAATGCTTAAGCTACTTGCTTGGGACAAGGCTTTGAGTGCTTATACTGAATAAGGCTTGAGGTACCAGCGTAGGGCAAGACCTTGAGTTCTTATGCGTGACAAGGCTTGAGGTGCTTGCTCAGAGAAAGCTTTTGAGTGCTTGCGCGAGGGCAATACTTGATGTATTTGCTCGAGGTAAAGCTTTTATTGCTTGCTCAGGACAAGGCTTTAAGTGCTTGTGCGGGGTAAGACTTGAGGTGCTTGTCGGGGCAAAGCTCGAGGTGTATGATCTTAAGGTCATGGTGATGGACCCTAAGGCGAGGTCATGTGAGGAGGTCGTGGTTCACCCAAGGTCCCCATACCACTATTGTTAAAAGTGAGACAAAGAGCTTGAGCTCGAACATCAGCCATAAAATTGACCTCATGTGTTGACACTTGAGGTGGGTTATGTTGGCTTAACAGTTGAATTAGCATGACAACTTGTTGACGAAGATCTTCGAATGCCTCCAGAGTAACAGCTGTAGGTTGGGGTGCTGCTAACTCTGGTGGCACCACTGGAGGGATTGAAGATCCTCGATAAGGGGTAGAATTAGAGCGGATGAACTTGCTGGAAGAGGTCTTAAACGTGTATTAACCATGGCTTTTGATAGCGTTTCCCTCAGACACACCAATGATTCTACTAAAAATCTGCACATTTGAATATCCGAGCTTAATGATTTGGAATGAGCATGAGCAGAATCTACAGGACCAGAAACAAAAGGCATCTAGGATATGCACTTATGAATACCCAAGCTCAACGACCAAGAATGAGCATGAGCAGAATCTCCAAGACCTGAAATAGAGGCCTCAAAGTATGTTCTCGTCACCTTTTCGATGCTTAAGTTAGTGAACATAGAAAATATAGGCATAAGGATGTAAACTAAATGTAAAAACCATACGTGAATAATGAATGAAATACGTGTATTTATAGAGTTAGGCAATGCAATCTTGGTAGGATTGGATCACTTGGATGTCTTATTTGTTTAAGAGTCCTAAAAGATGTGGGAGTTCGGTGAAAGTTGGGCATTAGAGATTCATTGAAACTTTAGAATAGTTGTAGTTAGAAAATATTAGGACTGTGATGATTGAGTCAATCTAGGTTAGGGAACAGTTAGAGAGAGAAATGAAAAGGGTAGTAAGGGCACGAGATGTTCAAATGCTTCAAGCATGAGGCTGAACCCGAAGATGTTTGGCCTAAGAAGAGTGCTCGAGGTTATCATGATCTCGAGTCTGGGATTGTGAGTAGTCAAGCTGTAATGTACACATCAATAAGTTAATTAAACTCTATTTTTAATATTTTATCAACACATCATAAGTAGGGGTGGGCATGGGTTGGGTGGGTCGGGTTGGTTTTTGCCTCAACCCAAATCCAATCCAATATGATCGGTTTGATCAAAATTTAACCCAACATAACTCGTGTAAATGTTGAAACCTAACCCAACCCAACCCAATCAAGTATCAGGTTGGGTTGGCTTGGGTTGGTCGGTTTGTGACAACTTGTCAACAAAAATTAAAGTCATCCAATTGTCTGTTATACTAAATTCGAATAGACAAGATTAAATAATAAGTAAATAAATAAAATTATCTATTATCTTATTCAATTCTCATTAGCCGAACCTACAATGAACAAAGAACATTTAACATAACATGGAATAATTATACTACATTTCTTGTGGGAATGAAAGTAAACTCCTCCTCTAAAATGCACCAAGTTAATTAGAGTTACACCATCCACTCATTAGGCATTTTTTTTAAGTAGGTGGGTTGGGTTGGGTTAGGCGGGTTTATTCGATTTTCATGAGACCCGCCTACACAGCCCACCCACCCACCCCGTGTAAAAACAACAAAAAAACTAACCCAAACCGATCGGTTGGTTCGGGTTGGGCTGTTTTGGCGGTTCAATCGGGTTTTGCCCACCTCTAATCATAAGACACATGATTTTTACTTATTCTTTAACTACATTCACTGAGATTGAGTGCTTAAGACACTTAAAAGCTTAACAAAGCAAGGATTTGTATTCAAAAATATATTTCCAAGATAACTAAATAGATAATATCTTATTCTATAGAATCGGTAAGGCCCAACTATATAGGCTCGTTGCCCCTATAAACTCTAGCTGGGGTTTTTCTATTAGTCCAAGGCCACGTGGGCCCTGGATGAGCAATGGGCGCCACATGCGCCCTTGGAGAGACGTGATCATGTCTTTTTAGCAAAACCCCTATAACTAAGGGAAAAATTCACAATTCAAGCTTTATCTATCCCAAAATCAAAAATCAGGCCACAAGATTTAGAATTGTAAAAATCACAGGCCCCAAATTTAAAATTGCAAAAATCATGTTTTTCATGAATGAATTAATTATAGTTCACAATTACTATATTAAATTAAATATTAAATTGTAATATAATATAATTAACCCACCCCCACCTTATCTCACCTCACCTCCACCGCTGCTTCGGCGACTACTCCGGTGACCGACTACTGTTTTCCGGTCACGTTTTAAAAATTTTGTATACCACGAATTAATTCGTTGGTCACAGATTTCAAAATTAGTTGGTCACAAATCAAAATTTTTAGGTCACACGGTTACAGACTTTTTCACGGTCACAGATTAAATAATTTTTAGGTCACAGATAACAAAATAGTTGATCACAGATTATATTTTTAGTCACAAATTGACGAATTTTAAGGTTACGAATTAATTTTAATCACAGAAAATCAAAATTGCTATATCCACAACCACAATCATCACCACTTCTACACTATCGCCATGACCACTACCACCGCCTCCCCAACAACCACCATGACCAACATCACCACTACACAAACATAACGACAACCAGTAGTAACACCACTTTACCGCCACACCACCAACACCGTCTCCAATCTGAAACTCACAAACATAAATAAAAAAAGAAAACCCAAAATCTCAGAGATTAAAGGGCCAATTAGTAGTACCACTTCCAGAGGGAACACTAGCCAATATCAATATTATTTTAATATTGGCAGTGCTGATTCTTTTGAAGAAAAATTAGAGGAAGCCCAGGAAGCATTGGGGATATATTCCCATGATTATATCTCCGGACCCATTGTGTTGGAGTAAATATCTTTGAATTTTTACATGGCCTTCTCTTTTGTCTAGTTCTATTTCAAAGATGTTGCTGGCTGTGATGAAGCAAAGCAGGAAATCATGGAGTTTGTTCACTTCTTAATGAATCCTAAGAAATATGAGGATCAAGGAGCCAAAATTCCAAAAGGTGCTCTTTTGGTGGGCTTCCAGGAACGGGTAAAACTCTTCTGGCAAAAACAACAGCAGAGTCATTGACGGCCCCATTGACGATGAGTGTATGGTGGAAAAAAATGGGAATAAATTGTGCATGAAATTGGTGACACAAGCCAAAATCATTAACCTAAGGATGTGTTTGAATCACGTTATTTTGGAAGAATGTATTTTGAAATAGTAGATTGATGAAAAATGTGTAGTTAAAAAAGAATAAAAACTTATTAATATGATGAAAAATATTATTTTATTGAAGAATGTGTGATTGAAAATGTGTAGAAAAATGAGAATGAAAATTTTCATGTGGCTTACACAGGGCCTAAGTGTTTATTTGGAAGGAATTTTTTGAAGTGAAAAATAATTTTTTTGAGACTATTTAGTTAAAAGAATGAAAAAATTATGGATCCACATGTAAATTATTTTATTAAAAAAATACATATTTGAAAATAAGTTTCAAGAAAAAAATGATTTTCAAATAAGTTGTACTAAACGCTAATCGAAATTGCATTTTGAAAATCATTGATGTGGTAATACGTATATTCGTCAATGGCGTGCTTTTGAATCAAATCCAGCCATTTCAAATACGTTTTAATTTAGGCTTCAATTTTTTTCAAATGCAGTTCAAAACCGAATTAAATTGTTTAAGAAAATAAAAAAGTAATAAAAATTACCAACAAATCTCGACGACAATCAATAGTTTAAGGGTAATTATATTCACACCATATTTTTTAGTACTTACACCACTTTTATATTGAAATTAATATTTTCAACCTTTGTTCATTGTAGTCTTTATGTCCCTTTTTTTGTCAACACATACGATCAACACAGTTAATTAATTAGTACATTTCGTCTCTAAAATTGATTTTCATTCAAAAATTTCATTAAGAAAACGTAAAATGACTTATTTTTCCATCATGTTTAAAAAAGTGAGTATAAAGGCAATATCCATTTTTGCCATGTTATTAGCAAACTATATATTTTTCTATTTTTAATAAAAATTGTACACAAATTCCAAATTAATTGAGACTTTTAAAAACTTTTTGGGATTTAAAAAGTTTAGGAGTATTCAAATAGGCTTTTTTGAGACTTTCTAAAAGTTGTGGTGTATTTCAAAACTTTCATAGACTTTTAAAAAGTATTTAAAAATTACAATATATTTAGTTAATACTTTTTACAAGTCTTGTCAATAACTTTTAAAGACTTTAATAAAAGTCTCTATGGTACTAATTTTTAAGCGGACACCGCAAAAATAAAATCTCAAAATTTGTCATTCATCCATTCCAAAATTTTGAAAGACTTTCACAAAAAATTTAATATGTATTTTTTGTTTCTTTTATTTTCCCTTCCACAACATTAGAGTTATGATTAATTTTTTTTTTTACATATTATATTTGTTTCTATTTTTCCATTTTTCTTCCTCTCTTTCTCTTTTACTGTTTATCTACATTTTCTATGAAAAATTAAATTGCAACTAAAGATTATTATAACTTTTTTTTCATCCACTTTCTATGAAAAAATCTATTTGTAATTAAATTAAAAGATTTTATATTGAAAATGCTAATTTATAATTATATTTAGATATATTTTTTTTACTTTTTAAAAATATGTCATATTTATAATATTGAATATTAAATTATATATATTGTTTATTTAATTACATGAGGGGGGGGAAGAGAAATGTGGGAACAACCACCTCGTATGTGAAAACTTCCCACTATTACATTATTAGACTCATGAATTATATTTTAAATGAAAGTTTTCAAAAGCTTTTTGAATTCTACAGAAGTTTAAAAAAAAATTACGATAATTAGCACATAACGTCACTATCTTTCACTATTATTGTGAAAAACATCTTTATCTTTCATTTTTTTTGACATTTTCACCCTTATTTTTACATTTTATTGCCCAAAAGGTTATTTTCATATATTTTTCAATTAAAAACTATGAAATAACGAATATATCCTTCTATGTAAATAAAACAAAAAGAAAAAAAAACTAATTGTAATCATAGTTTCATTTTTTTTTATAAAAAAAGTGTAAATAAGTCACAAATAAATTATTAAAAGGGTAATTAGCATATAATGCACATACATTTCACTATTATTGTAAAAAATGTTCATACCTTTCATTTTTTATGGAGAATTGGATAAAATGGATAGAAATAATGGTTTGCACAATTAAATGTGTAATTAAGTGTAAAAATGTTAAAAAATTAAAAGGTATGAATGTTTTTCACAATAATAGTGAAAGGTAGGGACATTATGTGTTAATTACCCATTTAATAATTTATTTAGGATTCATTTGCACTTTTTAAAAAAAATTCGGGACTATGATTGCATTTAGTTCTTTCCTTTTCCTTTTTCTTTTATTTAAATAAAATGGTATATTCGTCATTTCACAGTTTTTAATTGAGAAAATAAATGAAAAGAACATTTTGCACAATAAAAAGTGGAAATAACGGTAAAAATACCAAAAAAATGAAAGAGATAAATATTTTTCACAATAAAAGAAGTTATGTGTTAATTCCCAAAGTTTTAAAATGAAAGTCTGTAGAAGTCAACGAAATACTTCCATTAATTCCATACAACTCTATAAAAGTCTATGAAATCTACAAAAATCATCACTTAAGCAAGGTCTATAAATGTCTTTAAAATTCCCAATTGAATACACCCCTAATTCATAACTGGTCCAACTCTAGAAAGAGGAGGCGAATTGTTTAATACGTAAATATTTTATTTTATAATATATTTCTAAAAATTTTAAAATAAATTTGAAAAGTTCGTGTTATGGCTGGCCGGCAGGCCCTGTACAGGGGTGTGCCTGCGGGCCCTACAGTGACTGGCCTGCTGGAGTGAGTGTGCCCGTTCCGAGCCTATGCACCCTACTTATGTCTGAGTTCATCTACTGTGGAAAACCAAACATTCCAGAACTTGGCAAAAATAAAGATTTATATGAAAACATAAATTAAAAGAAGATTTCAACTAAAATATTGCTTTTCACAACACTTGAGACTAAAATTGCCACCAAGAAATTCTGAAAATGCATTCAGCAAAGAGAAAATAAAGATTCAACAGGAAACATAAGTCACAAGAGGATTTCACAAGACAAAATTTTCGTCACCAAACTATTGCTTTTCGAACCATTGTAAAAGTTACAATTTCTATTGGATAAAGAAAGTACTCCTCTTGCCATTTCAATAAAATAACAACTCGAACCTTAGCGTATGCAGGAACCAGGTGTACTGCATATTCGTTTTATCTATAAAATAACTCTCAATGCTCACTGAAAGCATTTACTCTCGCAAAACAAATTTTATAAAGATTGTTCTACCTCATTATTTTCTTCTGGTGGACGAGTTGCTTCTTCTTCGGATACACTATTCATCTTTGATGGACTATACTTCATCAACAGCCTTTGTTTGTTTTCCTTCCACCATTCTTCTGCTTGCTGTTCAGCAAATCTTCGCTTACTGTAGAAATTGTGCAATGGAGCATCATAATCAACAGTGTGGCAATAAAACTATTCTTCATAAGTTTTCTATTGACTTTCTATAAAAAAACTACTACATTATAAATATTTATGCATTCATCAAGTGCACAAATTAAGCATAAATTGACATCCATATTTCATCAAGAGAATTCAAATTTAATTGTAATTCTTTAACATGTAGAGAAACATATTTGCTATTTAAGAAAAAGTAGAAAATGTACTAGCCACTTAAGTGAACGAACTAGCAAGTACTCTCTGTTGTTAGTGGGGAAAGAGACCCGTGTGTCCATTACTTCAACTTCACTTTTTCATGTTTATTCCAAATTAATAGAGATATACAAATTGTTTCCTTTTCGCTTTGCTTTATCTCAAATTTGAATTCAAATTCTTCTCTAAACTGAAATCGATGAAGCGTTAGAAGGGAAGTGGGCTTACAATTAAATCATGCACTTGCACACACGAGAACACTAAAAGAGAAAAAGTTCATTCTCTTGAACAAAATATTTTTTCTCTTACAGTTTCTAGAAAAACAATCTCAGACTCCACCTATTTATACTAGTAGTAGGAGTATTCCATGCATGAATCTCAGTTCTAGTGCATTCAATATGTATGCAAGCATAATCAATCTGGATGAGTACATTTGATGTAGATTCATGAGTCTTCAAGAATCACTGTAGTGTCCACAAGCCAGATTAATATCTAACATGATGAGAGTTTTGTAACATTACTTAATTTGTTTGAAATATTGAAATTGAGCAGCAATTTTAATAAACATTCAAACAAATACTAAAATGTATAGGATATGATTGTTTATAAATATGAAGCCATTTCAAGGGTTAAAATTTGAAAAATGAAGTCACATTATTCATCATAAATGCAAGACTATTTTTATGAGTGTACACGTGTTCATAAGGTAAGAATCCACAAAATATAACGAAAGAAGAAAGAGATATCTTGTAAAGTACCTGAACCTAACCCTCTTAAAGATCTTGGTACCATTTTCAAGTTGAATCAGTGTAACATAAACACCTGGTTCAAATTGTTCAATAATTTCCTTTTGTCCTTTTACAGCCTTAGGTGTTCCAGAACCACCTTCTGAGGACGATTGGTGCCCACCATTTGTACCAGTAACAGAAGATCCATTGTTTGGTGGTGGAATTCCATCAATGTTCTGTGATATGTCTTGAACTCCTGCAGTACCCACACGATCGTCCATCCTATTATGCCCATTGTAATTAGATTCACTGGCTAATGCAATTTTATTAGCCTGATTCAGTTGGTCATGCATCAATTCTGTTGGCAAAGTAGAACTGACTTCAGAAGCTGAAGTCACAATTATATCCTTGAGAGATTCAAATTGTGCATTCATGGATTTGAAGGATTCACTCTCAGTTAACTCTGGAGGCAACTTCTCTGTATTTTCTTTTAACTGAAACAAAAAGATGAAGATACACAGGAGTAAGAGAGAGCAAACTGTAAAATCTTGTAATAGTGTTTACTCATCACTTATATTTAGCCAGTTCATACAAATGATACAACTTAGGTGTTGGAAAAATGGAGGTGAAATAAACTGATGAATCAATGGAAAACAATATATCAAGTTTAACGAGAATAATGTGGGTCCAAATTTGTTTATGTAAGTCTTCAAAAAAGTTATAAGCGCATTAGCACAGTTCATTTATCACAATAAGATAAGAATAGACGATTATATTTTCCAATCAGTTTCATTTAAATGTTACTTCTGATCTTTTGCTAAATAATATCTGTGGGCATTCTTAGAAGGAACGCCATCCTTTGAATTGATTATTCTCAAATAGGCAGTTTAGAGATGATACTCTGACTTTGATTGCAAACTAAAAAATGTCTGAGAACTGAAATTCAAAATTATGCAGGTTTTCGTCACAAACATATATGAAAAGATGAAATATTTAGCTCCCGTTTGGTACACATTTTGAAGGTAAAAATGCATTTTTACTGTTGATGTGATGGGGAATATGTGGTTGAAAAAGAAGGAAAAGTTATTGAAGTGATTGAAAATATTATTTTATTGAAGAACGTGTGGTTGAACATGAGTAGAAGAATGAGAATGAAAAAAATAATGTGTACCAAACAGGGACTTAGATCACCTGAGCAGTTAAGGAGTTGACTGCTTGCATTGTTATAGTACAATTGGACGATCTTGCTGCAGCCAATGAAACAGCTTCGTCTGCATTTTTCTTTAGCTTTTGAATTTCTCTATCTTGGACTTCACTCTTCTGCTTTAAACTTTTAATCTAAGATACATTCAGAAAATCATAAAAGTGTGCCCATGGAAATCTTGAGGAAGATAATTAACAAATTAAAATATGAAATCACACTTGTTAACAAGAAGAGCAATAGAACATCATACTTGGCTTTGCAGTTTGGACACTTCTTGGTTCAAAAGCTCATTTGTCTTATTTAAACTGTCGATGAAGCCCCTTGAAAACACGGGGGTAACAGAACGTGGAGGACTTGGCCTTCTAGAGTATGGTGAAACAGGTCTTGAGTTTGACAGTGATTGTGGCTGCAGCAGCTGGGATTGTGGTGGTGCTGTTACAACAGGCTTTAGAGCGTACTGAAGAGCACTAAGTGAGCTTGGGAAAGCAACATCTCTTAGCTGCAAAAGTGATTGAACTTCGGAAGCACGCACTGTGGAAGAAGAATCAGATTTCATCCCAGGCTTGCCAGACTTGATTTCAAAGTACTTCAAGGGTTCGGTAGTGGGTGAGAGCAGAAATTTTGATGTCCGACACTCTCCTCTTTCTATTCTACTATCTATTTTACGAGGAAGGGTGCTCACTTTTTGACTAAAAGACAAGGTACTTCCACTCTCTGCAGCCTTTTTCATTTTCAAATAGCAGGAGTCACAGACTCGATGTGGTTTCCCTGGAGTTGGAGCCAGTGCTGCTCGCAATGCCTTTTTGGAACTGCAAGCATGGCAATGCACTAACCCACAGTTATAACAGTTATGTCTTTTTCGAGTAAAACCAAATGCTTGCCTGCAACTGGTGCAAACTGATTGATCTACTCCAGAAACCCACTTATGGATGCATATACTTGCCGTGTAGTTTGAGCCACATGTGATAGTCCTCACATTTCTGTCTTTTAATGCTTCTACCAGTGTTGGAGTGTTACGATCTTCTGAGTCACCATGTCCAAGTCTTCCATTGGCACCTCTTCCCCATGTAAATACTTCACTTCCTGAAGTCAGTACAGCTACGTGATGTGCACCACATGCTATTTGTTCAACAAACTCTCCAACTAATCTATCTTGTACTAGACAAGGTGACTTTCCATCAGATTGTGGATTGCCCAGCTCACCATATGCATTACTGCCTGTGACGAAGACATGACCGGATGTTGTAAGGGCAACCGTTGCATTATGTCCACATGCTAGCTGGTGGATATTGTAATCAATAAGGGAAGACACACAGGTTGGAATTAGATAAGTTTCCTTGTTTCCATGGCCCAATCGATATTTATCGCCATCACCCCACGTGAATATTTTTCTAGGCAAAACATTTGAATTTGACTGGCTTCTCATCTCTATTATAGCAGCAGTGTGCCACACTCCGCATGCAACTGCAACAGTCTTCATTCCACTCACAGATTGAACCTCCTTTGGATACAGGATGCTTTCACGGTCACCATGACCTAAAGCTCCAAATGTCCCATCACCGAATGTGAACAGTTTTCCAGTAGAAGTTGTTAATGCGGAATGCCAGGTGCCGCATGCAACTGAAAAAACTTGAAGGCCTTCTAGAGGACCCGAAACTCTTTTTGGTATCCAATGGCTAACATCATTTCCATGACCAAGAAGTCCTGCGCTATGGGTACCATCACCCCACGTATATAAATCACCAGATGCAGACACAGCACAGGAATGAAACTCGCCACAAGCAACAAAATCGACATTCATAGTGGCCAAAAAGTCAACAAGCTGAGGATGACTGAAATCTTTTTCAATTCCATGACCGAGTCTGCCCCCAGATTCCTCTCCCCACGTGAAAACCTCGCCCTGCCTTGTAACAAGTGAAACATGCCGAACGCCACAAGCAATTTGTTGTACATCAAGAACTACATTTGTCTCCAGGGGTTTAGGAGTCAATACATCATTCTTAATGGGAATTGGATCCCCAGATCCATATGTTGATACTTTGTCTGACCAAATCTCACCCCAGACATAAACATCACCCAGTGATTCTATATCATCTGGTCCAGAACCTTGACTCGAACAACTAGGAGTACTAGAGACACTAATTCGGAAACCATCTGCACCACTTGTTCTTAGTTGCATATTTGCACATTCAGACCCCACATCTGAGTTTCGAACAGCATAAGAACTTCCACTAAAATTGGAATCAGTGCCGTGGGCAATACTTGTACTGAACTCTAATGTAGCACCAAATGGACGAATGTCTTGAGTGAAATCACTACCAGCATGTATCTGCAAGAAAATAAACACAAATATAAGCAGGACGAAGTTCTTGGGTTATATACTATCAGCATGTAAGGAAATCAACTAGAATCAAACTAGCTTGTTAAAATTCTTCACCACCATAAATTCTAATAATCACGATGAGGACTAAAAATCTTTTACCCATTTACAGAGTACACATTTCAGATCTACATCCAGAAATTGATGAGCTGTATCAAGAAAATTAATTTATCTGTCATAAACTGTTCCGAGCTAGTAGTTAAAAGTAGAATTATGTCATAAACTATTTTAAATAAGACAAAATTTCAAAAATGGTATTATTGATGTCTGTTAAATGCTGGTCAGTGACATTAGAAAACAAGGATATGCCATTGAGGAGTAAAATGAATTTTGCTGTTTTGTATAACCATTCTCAATTTACTAAAGCTTACTTGATTAAGAACCATAGAGAAAAACTAGACAAAAATCTCAACAGTAACAGAAAAACATAATAATTCTGAGTAACCAGCGCACGTTCTTCCCCTCAAATAAATCTGTTGAATTTGCAAGTCACAGTTCTGTTTTTCTGCTTACGAATTCCGTATCATGCTTATGAATTGTTTATCTGTTAAACTATACGGTTCCCAGGATTTTCATCTGCGTATAAGGTCTTAGCAAATAAACAGAAAATGTTTTTGGGAAACTGTACAAAAACTGCATAAAAGAAGGGATAATTTACTGAGTGTGTGGTTTCACTCTATTGGCGGACCACTGAACTCCATGGTCATTTCATATTAATTGCAAACATCTAATTTAGGACACGTTTCAGCTGATTAAGCACAAGCAAAGGTTTTGAACGTGATTGCTTGTAAGCAAGTATTCTGAAAGAGTGTATGGCATGCATTACCATATGGAATCTTTCAAATTATTGAAGTAATAAAATTATTGGCAAAAGAAAGAAGCGATGATCCGGAAATTTGGGATATGTTTTTTCATCATAATAACTGATAATATGTTATTCCAAATTCCTGCTTCAGAGAGATTACAGGAGCAACAAGGTTTTGTGATTGACAAAGAATGCAGTAAGAAAAATGGAGAATTTATTGATTTCTACAGAATAATGGTTAGGGAGAAATTTTACGTCAGAAATGTCACTCTGGGTATGTCTATCACGTGCGTGACGAGTCAAAATTAAAGCTTTCAGGCCAGCAATCCACACCTCTGCTTCAGCTTTGTCCTTGCAAATCTATAAAGTAGAAACAAGATGAAATTATTGAACCTACAGTCACAGTGACTTAATAAATTGCACTCAAAATGTAATGGTTTTGTTTTACTGACCAGATCAAGAGATCTTTCACCATTATTATATATAAGAGAAAAAGATAAGTACTCCTTCTCGGGGCGCGAGTATCTCCTGAAAACAGCCTGTATAGGCATATTGACAAAAAAATGTTATTCAGATAATATATGCCAAAGCAGGTTATATATGAGTTTCAATCATATAATCCACCCAAAAGACAAGTGCTAACTTACGGTTCTTTGCCCAGGAATAAGCTTCGAAACAGAAGATAACTTCAGAATTCTTTCAGCTGCATGGGAGTACCAGATTAACGTAGTTTCGTCCTGGAAATAGAATCAAATCCTAAGCATCCATGTACTTTAGATTATTGAATCATATATCATGTTTTCTCGTCAAACTGATATTTCAATTAATAAATGCAAAAGAAAATGCTAATGAGCTACTCGCAGAATCCGACAAGGACAAGGTGTGGCTCACAACCATGTCTGTTTACAAAAAAATTGAGTATATGCAGCCCAGATATTTGAACACTTGACTTATTTATGCGTATTAACATGATAAGAAGTAACCTTTAATACAAAATAATATTCAAGCATAGAAAACCAAAAGATATCCCTACTATGCATGAAGACCAATATACTATTTACCAAGCAGGCAAGCAACATAAATTGCAAAGTTACTCTAACTGTTGCAGTAGAAACTTGCTAACTGGTTTTTCTTTAGTAGTCATCAAAAGGCACACGTATGCACAAAACTGTAAATGGATCTTGGATACACAGGTACGACTTCGTCTCTAATCATGATTAAATAGAATAGACTTATTGCATCCAAGTCTTGGATACACAGGTGGAAATGGTTTTCTATTCTAGCACTATTAATAGGATATTATTGTAAACAATGAGATAGAGTTGAAATGAAATAAAGATTTCCTCCACCCAAATTCTTGCCAAGTATTTCTACAATTCGTTACGACATATGGCATTTAACTTGTTAGCACCTTTTGCAAATGCGAAGGTGAAAATGTCTTGGGCAAATATTGCTCGGAAGGATGAGCTCGACATGGAGGAAGAGAATGAAAATAGCAAATTTGTTAATATGCATGTTTCAGTTAGTGAGGGAACAACACTGAAGGAAGCAAAGCCAAAGGCGGTGTTGTCAATGTACCAGAGAGAGTACATTTGGTTTAGTAGAATAAGGACAAAGATATAGGTTGTTGTTTTCAAAGAATTTTTTTTTTTTTTAAATTAGAGAAGTGACTTTATTACCAACACTGCAGCAAGACGACTAATTAATTATGCACTTTATTATCAAGATATCCATGTTTGTGCAGAATGTTAAAACATTTCAAATTGCAAGACTGTTCCACAACATTTTATCACTAGTAACTTAGGGAATTAATAGTTGTTATTTTATCAAGAAAATTATACAAATGGTGTTTCATTACCCAAAATATGGATCAAAGAAACTAGCTAGTTCTTGAAATATAAAAGATGAACGTGCACGAAATTTTCACAAAACTTGATGTTTATAAATCATGGGTTGGCATAAGTTGTTTGGCTATGCAGTGGTTTTCTCCTTGCAGTCTATTTAAGGAGATGTGTTTATTTACCACAATCCCACATCGCCTGGGGAAGGAAAATGTGACAGATTTATAAGTGCAAGGACAATTAGAATGAGGCCTTTTCTTGAAAGCTGAAGAATAAAACTATTCGGTCCACATCGCACGGTGAAGGAAAATGAGACTGATATATAAGTGAATGGACCATTCCCAATTCGTATGAGACCTTTGGAGGAAAGTCAAAGAACAAAACCGTGAGCTAGGCCCAAAGTGAACAATATCACACCAAATGGATAGGGATGTTACAATTTGAGAGGATGGAGACATTTTAATTAATTTATAGTAAGAGAAGAAGAAGGCAGAAAGAAACTGAGGTTGAAGTAATTGGCTAAAATAGCAAAAAATATTCCAGAAGGCTAAAAGCAGGATTAAAAGAAAGCAATGTTCAAGCCATGTACATTGTTAACAAGTTTCTTAATGTTGAACGGAACAAAATCAGTTAGTTCTCGGTTTATTTTCTTGCTTCTCCTAAACCATGCACCAGGACCCCGCCCCACATATACTGATGATGTAGTCGCCAAGAATAATTCTATTTTCTTCTTATAGATCCGAAAAAAAGGCCTGTGTCACAAGGAAAAAGTCGATTATTTTACGTTGATAGTGAAGTACATTCTACACGTATGCTTCTGAATATATTAACAAAAATTACCCAGTCTAGACAAGGAAGTATGAGGGAACAATAGGCATAAATCTATAATTTTTCTACAGACAGCATACAACTACAGAAAAATCTAATGCCGGGAAGATATCATTTCTGGTTGGTACGATTTGACCATGCTGCACACCTGATTTGACTTCAGATTCTCAACTATTTCAATATCATTTCTACTTACAAGAACGATATGAAAGTTTTTTGAATTATCGACTTTCTATGGAATTTGATTTCTTTACACACAGTTAATGCAAGCAATTAGTTTAACTGATGAAAAAGTTTATCACCCTTGTTAGTACTTGGGTTCATGCATAGGACATTATTGAAATGTATTAAGTTGAAATCATCATATAAACTCACAATTGTAACCAGAAAAAATTAAATTGTAGTTTCAAACATTAAATAGAAAAGGATTTGATTATTGATAATTTCTTTGCATCTAAAGATATCCTACTTTTTGAAGTTCTTAAATTGTCAAATAGTACATTACATAGGAAACTGATTATAGTAAATTATTAATTATTATAGTAGTTATTGCATCCATAGTTGACATGTCCTATAATTTAGTTTTGTAGGCAATTCCAAAGAAATTCATGCAAATCAGTTACACTTGAGCCAAAACATTCATAATCGGATAAATCCTACAAGCAATCAGAACAGAAAATTCTACAAAAGATCCTTAAACATCCTGTAATATCCACTATATCGATATATAGAAATAAGCTTTCTTCAGATCTTCACTGCAAATCTAAGTTAGGTTAAACGTCGAAAAGGATGTTTCCATATGTTGAAAAAGAAATTGAAATGCGCCACTTCCTTGTGTAATTTAATATATAAACCATTTACATAAGATATGTTCCTGGGTATGTAGCATGAATCAAAGAGAAAAATGATAAATCAGGCAAGATTGTCTTTCTCCTTCCATTATCCACCCAGTTCAAATTGCTGGAGTGGAAGAAACAGTTCGCCATATTTCTTTCCTTACCTCGTTTTTAAAACAGTGAAAACTAAGAGTCCCATCTCCTTTTCTTTATCATATTTTAAGTCCACCACTTTCCCTTCTAAGCTTATTCCGGATACACCAATTAACAAGATGGTAATAAAACACATTCATACACTCTGGAGACTTCCCCCAAACTTGTATTGTAACACATAATATTGATGGCTCAACTTCTCTTACATATTGAAAACATTTTATACATAGAAGAATTCAAATACAGTGGAACTATTCCTCACATGACTATCAATCGAACAATGTATTGGCATCACAATTACATAAAAAGATCTCATTTATCAGGGAAGATAAGAACATAATCACTCACAGGAGAAAGTCTGAATGGGCAAAACTTAGGCTTCCCCTTTCTGCTGTACTTGATTAACTGTGTACCCTTCTTCAAAGCAATGAGTGCCTTCAAATGAAGAAAGTAAATGGAAGAGAGCAAACGATGATACCAATCTTATCCATCAATTTAAGTTAAGAAAGGTCTGCAAAGTGTATAGTAGTACTAAGACTTCATTAAGAAGTTCTTAGCTTAGAGGAAGGACATTTAAACGATTCCAGCATAAAAAAATTTGATGACATACACAACTATTGTTATGTATAAATAAGTATCAACGAGTCAATAATCCATCCAACACAAATGCATATCCTTCTAGTTATGTACCCTTTTCTTCTTAACTCTTCATTTAATTCTCTACTTCCTATCCCGGCCAATTCTTTATTTCAATATATTATACATAGTCTAAGTTTGTAAAATACTTAAAATTATGTCCGATCAATCTTTATATTTTCATATGTTACACATATTCAAGTTTGTGGAATCTTAAAAAATTTAGCAGTACTAAAACACATATTTAAGTTGAATAATTCTTGGTGTACATAATTTTTGGTACATAGGGGTGTCCACACCCTCACATGGGGTGGGACCCACCACCAAAAATTATGTACGTGTAGCATGTCCCATTTAAGTTTACATAACCCGTACTTCCATAATAGTTCATACAATTCCTACATGTGTTTGCCCAATGACAAGCGAGTTTCATAACCATAATAAATAGAAAGTGTCTTACCTACTCAATTTTTTTATAATTTACACTACAATTCTTTCACAAATTTAAGATTACAATGGTATATGAAACTACAAGAACTTTCACTTTTAAACACAAATTTTTTTGGCTTGAAAAGTCTCTTGACATCATCCCCTTTTCGAAAAAAAACAACCAAATAATGACTTTTTAGTTTTTGCAACAAAGTTAACCTCGTTAAAAGTAAAATTTCTTAATGACGAGCGTGTTACCTGCTCAGGGTTGCCATAACCAGAAGGATCTGCCATTCCATCTGAGACAAACGTTGGGTACCCACCAAAGAAATTGTCCCAACCATCCGCATAGTCTTCATAGGTGATGCCAATGCCCGCTCTTTTGGCCTAACATCAATTTCCCAGGAAAAAAAATAAAAAATAAAATAGAATCTTAAGACAAAATTCCAGCTAATATTTCTCTCCTAATCTTGTAACGCTTGACATTTATGATTATCCAAGAAAACTAATGACCCATTAACGATTCACTGAAAATGACAGAAAAGAACCACAGATTCCGGCGAATTCAATGCTATTTTGTTTGTAATCCGAACTCGAGCAATTTGGTGATTACAAGAGATCAGAATCAAGAAGATGAGAGAGAAAAGTGAAGAGCGAGAAAATGACACGAGTTTAGGAGAAGGTTTGCAGCTCAACAAAAAGAGGCGCGACTTTGGCGCGCATATTTGGCCTTCATAACCACCTTATGAATAACTCTACCAAAGAAATAGAGTGATTAGGTCCCTCACTTTCAATTCGTAGCAATCGAGTCCTCTATTACAAATTTTTTAGCGAGTGGATCCTGATCGTCACTCTTGCATACGGGTGGGCACGGGGTAGTTTGGTCCTTCGAGACCAAAACTTATTTGTTCACACACATATTTTAAAGTGTAAAACGGTGCATAAATTTCTTATTTCACTTTCACGTCTTTTTTTAACCGATAAAGCTATTGATTATTCTGAATACATATTAATTCAAGTAATTTCGTATAAATTTATTTATTGATCATAAAAAAAAATATTTAAAATTGAATAAAAAAAAATTAGTTATATACCTAGATTGCTACATGTACATCACCACTTATAGATTGATTTACAAAAACATGACGTGGTGAAATATAATTGGATCAAAATCTCTTCAACTGAAAAAAAAAACTGTTTCACTTTCTTTTTGACACATTATTAATCTGTAAAAGTTTCTATATTCAATTTTTTAAAACTTACGCATTTCATGAAATTCACAATTTTTATCACACACGTATTAACTTTTATTAAAATTCTGATTTTTATCCAAATTGAAAGGGGGCTAAGTACAGTTTTATGAGTATGATCCTACATTCAACTTGGGCTGAACTGTTCATGACATCTTGAGTACTCGAACTGGGTTGGGTCGGGTCGGGTCGGGTCGCCCTTTCAAGGCATCACAAATCTGCATGGCCTGACCCGCATTAAGTTAATGAGATTGTTTGATGGAGTTTTAAGAGTGATATTCCTCAACCGTGATAAGACCTAATTTAAGTATCAATTATGAAGCCAAACTTGACTACAGAAAATGGGTTTCATTGCCATGACCGTGTTTTTATCAAAATTCATAATTTTGGGAATTTTGGGACTTCTCAGCCTTATGGTATAGATTAAAACTAGATTTTTAGTTAAATTTAATAAAAGTTTATGAAATGTGTGAACGAAAAGTTTTGGATCTTATGAAACGTATGATTAAAATAAATTGTTTAACTCTAACTAATATATATAGTAGAGCGAACTAGAAAAGTTTAAACAGTATCGATTCGTATTAATTTAAAAAGTTGTCGCGTCTTTCACAATTATCATTAGTGACCAATTTTTAATAGCCACTATTAAGACCAATTGAGAATTTTGACGAACTTCTATAGCAACTTTAATATCAACCCTTTTTCAAGGAAATCGAGTTGTGCTACCATAATAATTTTGATCACGTTTTAATGATAACAAACAATTAGGGTCCGTTTGATTGCAAATGTAGAAAATGGGTGAAAACAAAATGAGTTATAGGGAATTGAATTGTTTAAAAATTGTTTTACTGAGAATTGTAATTAATTTTGTTTGATGGGTATAATTTTCCACTTAAAAAATGTTGAAAGTTTGGTGTCCGTTTGATTTTTTTTTTATGAAAAATGTCCATTAAAGTGATAATTTTTTCTACCATTGAATCTAGAATTTATTCCAATTGCCAAAAAAATTACCATACCGAATACCATTCGTTTGACTTTATTTTGTATGTAAATTGTTCATTAAAGGGAAATTTTTTTTTTTTTACCATTGTTGATAAAAAATTTTCCAATTACCAAAAAAAAAAAATATATATATATGCTTAAAAACATAAAACCACCAAAACATTGGAAAAACAAATTCACTAAAGAGGTGGAAAACTGGGCATGTGAGTGAAAATAGGAAAATGAATTCCGTGCAAAAGTTATGCTATCAAACATGAACTAAGGATCCGTTTGATTGCAATGGTGAAAAATGGGTGGAAAGAAAATGTTTTACAGGAAAAAAATTTTCCTAGAAAATATTTGCCTGAGAATTGTAATTAATTGTGTTTGATTAGTATAATTTTCTACCTGAAAAATGTTGAAAGTTTGGTATCCGTTTGGCTTCCTTTTTTATAAAAATTGTCCATTAAAGTGATAATTTTTCTACCAATACGTCTAGAATTTGTTCTAATTACCAAAAAGTTAAAAAAAAAAAAAAAAATTTAAACAATTAAAAAAAATTACCAAATTCGTTTGACTTTGTTTTG